TGATTAATCAACAATTCAAAATTTTTGACTTGCACAGAAGTGAGCCGATTTAAAAGAATTATTTTTATTTATGTTGAAACCAATGTATCGTGGAAATATTCTTCGGGACACCAACGATTAAGGATTAAAGATATTTTTCGTTTTTTTGTTTTTTATGTCCTGGCGTAAATTCCAGTTGGTGAGATAGAAACCACGAACTGACATCAGCGTGGGCTTACTCATGATTCAATAAGGCTTCGGTAATTGGCAGTCATTATTGGTTTGTTTTACAGTTGGATTTAGTTTCTGACATTTTAGTCTAGCATTGGACGGCTTCACGGATCCCAAGTATGATTTTGATTTTGTTTATAATTTTAGATTGCCTTTGATGAACTATCTCTGCACATCTGACTATACACTATACACCATTTTCCACTCATTGTCTGGCCGCGTAAGTGAATGGGCACTCTTTTTCAGATGGTATCATTGGTATGGCTCAAATGCTGGGTAGCCTAATTGTCATACTAACCATTTCTGGGCAAATGGAAGAACAGAAAATAAGATAAGAAACTTTTTCTCATCTAATCCAATCAATATTTCTATTGTCCTAGTGTTAAGAATGTGATTCGCTAAACGGCTGGAAACACAGTGATACTGATATTTCCCTGTTGGAATGAGTGTACAATGCAGAGAGAATAAAACTCGCCGTTTAGCTATGCCATCTTGAATCTTTCGACGGGAGACGAATAAAGAAGCTCGCAATATTGCTTATAAACCGTATGTGAAGAAAATAGGTGTTGTGTGGAACAGCGTGATCTATTGCTTATTGTACGTTGCGTTTCTGCTTCATCCAGAAGTTTGGGTTTTCGTTTTCAATCATTCCATCTTCGAAGTGGCCAAATATTGCCTTTTAAGTATGCACAAAATCGATTATTACCATTCTCAGACTTCGTTCAACAGAAGATCGCCTGCGTTTCCCTCAACTGTTGGTAGCACCTACACTTGTTGATGGTGAAATTTCATTCAAGTGAATTTAGGTGAAAAAGCGAAATTCTGTACGGGATGTGAAGCGCCGAGTATTGATTTTGGTGGTTTCTATTTGGTCTTGAATGTATTTGAATCAGCTTTAAACAAAACACCATTAAATGGACTAATTTTTACTTTTCATCAGTAGTTGATATATATTTTTGATTCGGGACAACAAAATTTCATCCTAGTTTTGCGCAGTGCAGTTGTCCATAAGGGGAACAGAAAGACTGACGAGTTTCACACATGTTAGAATAATTGCTGTTTTGATTTGCGTGAAGTTTTGTCTTCCGAAGTCAGATCATGCATTGATTAATCCTGTTTCACTGAGGTTTGATCATACGCACATTGAGAAATCTGCTTTTGGCTCTCATGGTGAAGGTGTCAGGAGTCGTAATTCATGCAAATTGATTTTGTCATTGTGTCAATTTATCTTTCATAAACAAACACCCTAAATGTGTTCGTGACAATCATTTTTCAGTTAGAAAAAATAACTGGAGCCGCTATGATCGCTTTTTTAGTTCATCTTAGATAGGTCATTCCATATGCAGATGAAAACTGATGAGAACATCATAACCCTTTTTATTGTTGGTTTTATTGTACTTTGTTGTTGAGAACGAAAATACATGCAAAGAAATCTCTAATCATAATTTATTAGGTATTTTTAGTTAGCATACTATTTACGGTATTATTTAGTTTCATTCTGATTCACATTCTACAAAACTTCGTCCATTGCAATCGCAAAAGTTACGCAAATATCGTCGATAACCATTTTTGGGGAAATCTTTTGTTGATGTATAGTACAGACTGGTCCCGTTAGGCTCCCCGACTGGGGACCTCCGGATGATCGTAACCGATGGTTAGAGACACTGATTGATATGGCTGAGTGTCGTAAACAGTGGCGTTTGTGCATGTCAATTTTTGTTCAACCCTAAATCACTGAAATTCTCGATCTTCTGTTCGACTCTACTTTCAACTTCCCTGTGTTTCTCCTATTCTTCATCCAAATGGGCACTCCGCCGCTAACCGGTAGTAAGGTAATGACCAGAGAATGCTCAGGAGAAAGGAGGAGGAGGTACTGAGGAGAGTAAATCGCGTTGAAATTCTGGGCTAGGTAAACACAAATTTCGTCGATCCTGAAAATACCATTGTTTTATTCATTATCCAACTAACTTTTCTCCTGACTTCTTTATTCTGACAACCTTACACCTAAATTTCAGTTTTGTTGCAAATTTTCCTGTTTTCTCTTCCTCAAATAATGTCACAAAGACTATGATCAAAACCAAAACAGTATATAATCACTAGCTATATGAGCTGATATTTTTGTCTGATCCATTACGGACTTGTATTCCTGTATTCATTGGTGACAATTTACCCAGTGATCAAAGGCAAATATTTGCTACTGTTGTGCGAAAATGCATGAGACTGTGATAAAGACAGATCTTTTCAAATAATACGTTTCTGTGTACAACTTTTACTTTATTTAACGAAATAGCTCTGCCCGTGTTTTATTGTTTTCCGTCTGTGAATTTCGGTACTTCCACAATAATAAACTAGCTTACGGTGACCTACCGATGTGAAATTAAATAATCCTAGGGTTGATATGTGCAATATCGACTACGGATGAACATCGTGCTGAGACCTCAGGAACTTGAGTGGTTTTTCAGTGTATTTTTAGTCCGGCAGGTCTTTTACCCTCAATTTGCCCGAGGCAATCATCAAAATATATGGAGAAAGCTAATTAATTGCACTGATAATTTGAACACTGAATTACAGTCCACTTCGTGAGCCGGAGAAATCTGCGATACCAGTGGTTTGCATCAAGTGTAAACTTCGTTCTGTCTCTTGCCAATAAGTGATGGCGTCATTTTATTAACATCGTAATAGATATCATATAGTTTACGTTTTTTGTCAATCAGCCGGATAGCCAACAATTGCAGCGAGTGCGTGTAATTGCAGGGGCAAGGATAGTATCCACTTAAACTAAAGCTATGTTTGCCTCTCTTGAACCTTATGTAATCCTGTCGGTCAATGTGCTAAACCATATTTGCATGCTGACGTACACCGTAGGCTTCTCACTCAGCACCGGGCATTGAAAGTCGTTCGTTTTACAAACCATTTAAATCTCATTACTTTATTCACGATGAATGCGATGTGTTGATTTGCATGTTGATCTAAATGCAGGGGTTGCTCAATTCTCTAACCAGTTGCTCATTATGCAGCTGAATGTGATTTCAGAAGCTGCTGCTACTGCTCTCTGAAGCTCTCACACACTGTAAACAACGACTGGAACCGCTAACCTATCGTTTTAATGCAAATTTTCCTCCTAGCTGATAGTCAATAAGATAAATTTTGTAGAACTGTTCGAGTACAAAGTAATCTTCACAGGTGACTCCTTTTCCGTCTCTCAGCAAAGGTTCACAATTATCTAAGTGCATACCCGTTGTTTTCCTCAGTTGCTATGGTACATCATCTACCTCGGACTTCTTCGCTTCGCCTGGTTAGGTATCCAGACAGAGAATCCCATGTCTGTAACTAAATGGATTTCTGTTACGAAGGTGGCCCTTGACCACGGATTTTGAGGCTGTCATGAAACCTGTCGTGGATTGTTTTAGCTAGGTCGAGTTTCTTATGTCGCTAGACAAATTTTCAGAATGCAGTTTTAGGTGAGACATCTGTTGAAGACAACCATTAGGCAGCCACTTAGCAATTCTAGTTGAAGCATTAGACTAAATGGTGCTAGACAAGTTTCATCTCTAGATTGGGTGCTACTGACCCTCTTTAATAGCCCAAATAGGTTAGTGGCACAAATGCACCTCTATTGACGCACTTTTACCGTAAGCTTCGATTTGCTTGTTACTTGTGTTTTATGAGTGGAGTTATCTGTGGAACGATAGTGGCACCTTAAGGAAAAGCTGTTCATATATCTGAACTAAGTCAAATCAGCAGCATAATTAAGATAAGCTAGTTTTTCAGCTTGTATTTAATTTATACACACCATTTACATGTGGAAAAAATTCACTATTTCTCGCGGGACCGTAAAAGGCGCTTAGTGAAAAATCTTGATACACATCGTCTTCCACAACAAGTTTTCTTTCCGTCTCTCTGGTGGATGTTTTCAAGTGTTGTTAACAACTATCCGTATAAGTAACGGAACACTATTTTAGTTCAGTTCATTCTACGTGGACGTGAACCATGCACTCTCATGGTTTAGTTTTATTTTCCATCTTTCAGTAACCTATCTCGCAACTCAAGAGAAAGAATGGTGACAATCGAGAGAGAGAGAAAGAATGTTCACAAATCAAAGATACGGCATGGAGCATTGGAAAAACGTGCAGTTTTACGACAACGTAAAGGGTACGAGAGAAATTGTCCAATCTGGTACTGCGTTATACGGAGAACTCATAAGAAAAATCATTCAAAACCCGAAGTCTGGTTTGAACGTGTGTAGGATAAATCTCATCTGTTCATCTTGTGGTTAACTGAACTGAAAGCTGGTTTCAGGAAAAGGTGGGTAGGGGGCAAATGACTATCGTACATCTTGAATACCAGTTTTCCATTTTTTTATGGGAGCTGCAGATACAGCTGACGAGTCAGTAACCGGTCCATGCGTCAGCCTCAAGTGTGCAGTCAAGGTTGATGGTATATGGTCAGAATGACAAGCTTTGATACTTAAACCATTTTTGATATGCATCGGTACGATAATTGGTTTGCACTACTTCCCCAGAAGTAGTTCGGTTGCAAATTAGTTCACTGAAATTCTCATTTTTCTCTTTGATCATGCTTTCAACCTTTCCTGTCTTTCTCCTAATGTTCATCCAAATGGGAAGCCAAAATACGGCAACCAAAACGGGCGCTCCTTAATGCATGGTTAATAGTTGTACAAACTGAACTGAACTGAACATTGGAAAATATATTTTGTCAGTTATTTGTTTAAGAATAAACCCTCATCTCTGAAAAAATACTTGGTTTACTTTTGTGCGTTATCTCCCTCAATGGGATTTTTGCTGTGCTACAATCATGATAATGAGTTGGCATTGTGGTTTTTCATGGATAGCAGCCGCCCAGGAACGGTTACTGTAAGTGAAACCTAAGAAGGTCTTAGTTTCGATTATATCTTCCCTAGACGGACTAAATATTCAGTTTCATAATCCTATTTGCCACCCCTTGATCATGTCTTTAACTATCCGTCAGGTCGGTACTGGTTCTGCAGCAGTCTGAAAAGCGCCAAGTTTCATCCTATGACGTATTTTCGGTGGCAGCTCAGAGCGCTTTGTGAAGCTGTAAACGTGCCCTTCTTGTATTTAGTGTGCAAATGGGCTTAAGATCATAACTGACCATGTAGGAGTATCGTTTCGCTTAGGTACTTAAAAGCTCAAACACAAAGCGTCAAACAGTATTACTTACCATAATATCAAACAATAGGTCTTGCGTTGGAATCCAGTCACTGCCACCACCTGTCCTCCCCTTTTTCTTTACATCACATGCCAGTTCCATAAATTCTCATATCCTCCTGAAAATTGTTTTTGTAGCTATGAATTCAATAAATAAGAATTAAACAGGGAATATAAAACGAAGACACTCGATTGGTTATCAGACCATGGAAGAACTTCTCACCAACTCTTTGAAAGGGAACGAGAAACCTCCCGTGCAGTTTAGGAATATTAATTAGTTTCTACATTCTATTTCCCTGAGGAAATTAAATATTTAATCACGGTTAATTGTAGTTGTCTTTGCTGTTTTTTTCTGAATCAAAGCGTTTGAAGTGCCCGTGACGCAGGCACCGCATTATGATATGTTTATTGAAGAAAAACTATTATTCCGAAAAGATTAATCGAATTTCTTTCTACTCAGTAGTTTAATGTATGTCCACAGATAATCATTGGCTATAAAAAGAGGTAATATCTTATTCTTCCAATCTTTTTACCAACGAAGATGGTGCATTGCTAAAGGTTGCCTTCCGTGACATTAAAGTTTTTTTCTTCACCCACGCGGATAAGCTACCATGGAGAAGCATAAAACTCACTGTGTTACATGAGGTGTGGCGAGTTTTTGGGTAAATTATTCACAAATGTTTTTCTCGGGTGGACTCAATCGCGGATAACAACAGCTACAGACTCAATTCTCATTATGTCTTCAGTGCTGCAAAAGCCAGTGTGGTGTGTTGAACAGGCGAATAACATTCACATGACTCTGGGAGTGAAAAATAACAATGTAAACGTAATCTATTTTGCAATCGACAGCGGTATCGTTTTCTTCTTTATACAGCTTTACGTAAGGTTATTGAAACATAAAGTCAACAACCAAAGAGCACTGGACAGCTGTTTCGTCTTGTTTGGGACTCGTCAGCAGTCCGTACTTTTTGTGTCCCCGTCAGGACTCGAACCGCGATCAGTCGGGTCGGGACTTCAAACCCTTACCCCTGAGCTACACGGGCGACTGTTATACAAACAGTGGGGAATTAACAGTCTCACAAGGAGTGAAACCCACACCGAAGACCATCATGAGTGCCTGGTGCCTCTGAACAATCGAATGGGCTAATCCAAGCTCGACACTATATATATATATATATATATATATATATATATAATACTTACCACCGGCTTGAAGACAAGCATGGTGCCAACACAACAACAATAATGACCATAACAATACAACGGGATAGGTGAATTGGGGTACAGAACATAGTGAAAAGGGGGTGAAACAGTTAAACATGGGAAAATGCAGGATAACAGAATTTTTTTGTGTGTTTCACTCTATAAAGTCAACAATGTTTGATAGTTGTCTACTCTTCATGAAATTTATTATTCTCCAAAATATTTGCCTATACTTATTGTTACACGTGACATCTTGCAATTAGTACTTGTTTTACTGTCATTGGATCGGTCGGTGACTGTGAAAGACAAATCTTACATTCATCTTCCAGTCTTGAACAGGCTTGTACCATGATTTTACTTGTACAGTCTGAACCCAGGCTAACCTGAAATATAGCGCAATTATTTGTAATTAAGTAATGTTATTATAAGTGATAGCAATTATTTTGTGTTCTATGAACCTGAAAATCAAGTTTAACTTTAGAAACTACACATCTACCTATTCAGGAATACCACTGCTGGTGATAGGGGGTTCTAGACACAAGGGTCTATATTCTTCTGAGCAATAGTGAGCAGAAAACTCCTCTCTTTGTTTATCGTTCTCACTCAGTTGATATGGTCAACTTTGGGGGAAGTAATGTGTATTATTTCGTACGATTGTTATAAAATACCTGAAGATTTTATAATTGTCCAGCAAGTGAAGTTTATATAGGAAAAAATATCACTTAGTCAAAGACTGCTGGTGTCTTCAGTCATATTTTGCTCAATATATGAGCCGCTTGGCGATCGAGGTATGCAGATGTAGTATATACAATGAACGACCAATATGAAACTTCCTTGCACAAGGTGGCAGGAGTCTGTGCCTGCACTCACTCTCCGTGATGATACTCTGGAGATGGTCAAGAGCTTTAAATACGCTTAGAGTTGCAGGTGGCACTAGAAGCGAGATCACATCACGAACAGGGGGAGC